TCTCCTTCTTCTTGTTGGGAAGGAGTTGGCTCCGTCAGCGATGGCAAATTCTCCTCTAAAGGCCGCGGAGGAGGAGGTGGAGATAAAGAGGAAGATGGCCGATCTTTAATAATCTGTGGTATTGGGAATTGGTCCTCGAACTGTTTCATTTTTATAGGGTTTCTTTTTAGCTTTGCATACTCGGCCTCTGCAATGTGACGGAAATGATTCACACACTGCGGCTGACTCTCGCATATCTTATTAACAATGAATAACGGTACGTTCCCCTTTAGGTCGACCTGAGTCACGTACGTAACTCGACTCAGCTCAGGCTGACCAGGACAGACTTCTATAATGTATCCTCCAGACAGGACGTCCCCTCGGACGTACCCCCTCTCTTCCGGGATGCGAGGATCGACCACGGACGTTGCTGCATGTAAAAACGTGGTTTTATTGTACTGTCCAAAGACGTTTAGAGCACAGAAATCCCTCGCCGATGTAGGCCAGACTGCTTTATATTTTAAATGCATCAGCTGGACGTGGTCTTGTATGCTTTGTATTAGTGTCATTTTATCCAGCATGTCGTCCAGTTGTTTAGAGTAGGTTGGGTCTAGTAATATACGCATTAGGAACTCAGGGGGGCAGTTAATTTTACCGGAACCCTTGACGGAGTTAACAGGCGGCTCCCCTTTCTCGGGTAGTTTTTTCAAAATGGCGATGCCCTTGCTGATACCGAGGGAGATCCATCCATCGTCGACTGTTGCTTTTGAAACTGCAATGAGATCTTCGGCACATTTCATAGCCATTGACATGTAGCGTTGATCATACTCAGCATAAGGACCAGTTGGTACTCTACCATTACTAATGTGAGTCTGGTCTTCATCACTCTTAGTGTCAGCACAAGCAGCCAAAGAGGGTTCCAGTGGTTTTATCTCTTCCACGACTTGCATTTCAGACGAAATATCAGGTCCTGTGGTGGGCGTGTCTGTTAATGAAGTGGGTGGAGTAGTGGGTGTGGTTTCTTTTAACGAGTAATTAATGTTGTATGCTTTTAAGTGGCTCATTAGTACGTGTTGTCGTAGAGACGAAATTTGGGTAGCAATATACTCGGTGGCAGGAACAAGATCAGAGGGAGAAGTAGGACACAAGATAACAGTTAGGACACTCCAGGGATGCTCTGTAGAGAAAAAGAAGATTACTAATTCAAATATACATGTACATGTACATACATGTACATTTACTACACAGTGAGATTGTTATCAAATCACATAACACATACACACATCAAATCTACTACAAAAGTGCATTTGTAAAGGAAGAATTTACTACTGCATAATGTGTACACATGTACATGTAGAAAAAGGTGACCTTTATACTACATTTGGTATACTGGCTATGAAGGAACTCCCCTAAATATCCAATCATTACATACAGGGTTTTACATAAACTTAATTGCCACACAATGTAAACAGGTCCAGGAAATTTTAAGGATATATTCCTACTGTAGTACAAGTATGTTGTATAATTCTGGAGTCATTTTTAAACTCACGGTCTTTTTTTTGCTGTGGGGCCATGGAGATGATAAAGAGTGACCAGCGAAAGGGAAGGGAAGTGGGCTTGACTTTTGAAAGGGATGAGAATACGTAGGAAATCTCCCCATTGGTACGCCATGTTCTAGAGAGAGAGAGAGAGAGGAAGGAAGGAAAAGTGAAGGCGTATAGGAGTGAATGTATACAGCAAAACAAAGTACAAGTTATACATTACAATAACATAACATGATAGCATCAATGTTATGCACATTGTGTACATGCAATAGAAAATGCAACAAAATTGAGGGTATTTTAAGCTACATTTTTGGAAAAAATAGCTGGTGAAAATAGTCGATGAGAATTTCGTTTATTTTTCAAATGTTTATGTATCTGAACAAACCTTTCCATTCTTTCTTGGCTTGCGTCATTGTACAATTGACCAAGAAATGGCAGCCATTTTTCAATAAACTTGGAACAATACTTTATTGCATTGAGGAACCCTTTCTTAAGCACTCCAGAAAACTGGTCGTCTTTTTTAATAGTAAAGTTGATGATATCGAATCCATCAGGAACAGAATGAGAGGTCATTGAGGAACGTATAGTACCTTGAACCCGGCCAAACCAAAACTGCATGTCAGTAGGATCAAGAATATACTTCATTGCATGCTGGAAACAGAGAGAGAGAGGGAGGAGAGAGAGAGAGAGGGGGGAGAGGAGAGGGAGAGAGAGAGAGGGGGGGAGAGAGAGGAGGGAGAGAGAGAGAGAGAGAGAGAGAGAGAGAGAGAGAGAGAGAGAGAGAGAGAGAGAGAGAGAGAGAGAGAGGAGATAGGTTTAAAGGGAAAAGAAGATTGAACAATAAAGGATAAATAAAAAGAAACAGAAAACAATTATTCAATGAAATCACAAGCAGTATACATGTTAGTGTCAATATGTCAGCTTTCTAACCAAAACATGAAAACCAATTACTTGCACATGTACATGTACAAGTATATGTGATTATTACTTGAATTTCAGAGTCTAGGAGTGTAGTGGATGCAATGAGGGAGGTACCCGCTGGAGTTACGAGAGACGAGAAAAACTTTGAGTAAACTCGGACGCCTTGAGAAATCCTCTCAATATTCCAGCCCTTCTTAGGGAGTATTGGGAGCGTCTGAAAAATATCCAAAGACGTGCAAAAGTATACAGAGATATGCTAGTGGGTGCATTATGACATGGAAGCTATTTGAAACTGCTATTTTAAGGTGCTGGGGACATAAGATTGTAACACCTTGTTGTTTATCATTTTAATGGAGCTGAACGTGTTAACATAAATTAACGAGACACGTGTGAAACTGTTACCTTTAAAACTCTGTTTATCAACAGTGGTAGCTGAAGTCTATGATCAGATTTCTAGAGAAAGAGAGAGAGAGAGGGAGTTAGAAAAGAGGAGGGGCACCTCCCCATGACCAGCTACACAAAATGCAGAATAGACTTACCGAGCCATCCCGGCGTCTCTGGTAATGTAAAGCAAGGACACTGAGAGCTGCTATGCCTAAGGCAAGCGTCCAGCCATGAGTGAGGATGTAGAGGAGAAAGGAGTAGAGGAGGACCACAGGAGACCAGAGTAGCCAGAGAAAAGCCATGACGAGGCGTGCCCATAAATGCAGGAAAGACGATAAGGAGCCGGCTATGTAAGCTAGGATAGCCATGACAGTTGTTTATTATATGAGAGAGAGAGAGAGGGAGAGAGAAGATGGAGATTTATTATAAAAACTATTATAATACCATTGATATTAATAAATTACCTAAGGGGAGGCGTGGTCTTTAAATAGAAAACAAAGAAGGTGTGGCTCATTATTTTCTAAAAGTTGTGTTATCTTCCAACTGTATAGAATAAAAATAAAAAATAATGTCGATAATACATAGACTTATTATGTTTGCATAAAAATAGAAAGATTGAGCTAATTTTTAGTCAAAATTGCATAATTTAGAAACTTTTAAATTGCTTTAAAATCTGAGTATAAAGACCATGGACTATGCTACATGGTAAAATGGCTAGGAGAGAAATTTTCTGATGGATAATCTTTGGAGAAATTGTGCAAAATGAAAAGTCTACAAAATAGGCGTGGCTGAATTGTGGCCACGCCCAATCTCGTGACAAACACTTTGGCGCGTGGAGAAGAAATGGCGGCTGAACAGGCAGCCAAAAGGCCTACAATTACCACAAAAATGGCCAAAATAGGAGACGAGGAAGACAGCAGGGGCTCTAGCACGAATCACAAGGACGGAGACGAGAACGCTCAACTCGCCCTTGAAAAGATAGTAGGAATCCAGCACGAGATAGACAGTCTTAACGAGCAGGCCTCAGAAGAAATATTGCACGTGGAACAGAAATATAACCAACTACGTAAACCACACTACCAGAAGAGAGCAAAACTAGCCCAAGAGATACCAGAGTTCTGGTTCACGACCGTATCCTATTCAATACGATAATTATATATTTTAAATGATGTAGATCTATTTTGGTTTTAGTGCTTTTGGGCCTTTTTATATGTAATAATTGGTGTTAAAGGGTTAATTTACAAAAATGCAACCAAGCTAAGTTATTTCTAATTGATAATGGGTTCACCTTCTAATAGCTCGGTCAACAAAAAATTTTATTAAAATTTGTCACTTTTAAGAAATTTTTATTATTCTGCTATTTATAGACCATGACAAATTTGATGAAATTTTTGATTGTGAAATAACTGGTATTTGGCGTTGTTTCCTTGACAGTTTTATTTTCAGTTAACGAATCATCCTGCCATCTCTCAGTTACTAAACGAGGAGGACGAGCAGGCTTTAATATATCTTGAAAATCTCACAGTAGATGAATTTGAAGACGTGAAATCCGGATACAAGATTAGCATGGTGGGCGAGGATGTTTCTTGTTTAAATTTATGTTCCTTGTTCATATTTATTGTATCTAGCATATTTTTATATGCTATACGTATTTATGCATATTTATGTATATATTATGCATATTTTTATTGTTTTATTTTTTTAGCATTTTAGACCCAATCCGTACTTTGAAAATGCTGTCTTGTTGAAGGAGCTTACTTTAGATGTCTCGGGTGATAGTACGATAACAGGGACGGACATTAAATGGAAGCCAAACAGAGTGAGCTTATGTACTTTTGACAATTCTTATTTAATGTGTTGTATGTATCAGAAAATGTAATAAAAATTGGGGGTGATTTCTGAGCTATTTTTTGGAAAAAGCATGGGCTATAGCCTTGGGTATTTTTTAGGTTTTGGCAGTTTTTTTAAATGGCTGTAACTTCAAAAATTTAAGTCGGAATCAGCTCAAACTTTCTACACAGCATAAGGACATCAATATGTATCTGAAAATATAATAAAAATTGGGAGTGATTTTTTTAGCCATTTTTCGGAAAAAAGCATGGGCTATAGCCTTGGGTATTTTTAGGATTTTGACTTATTTTTTTAAATGGCTGTAACTTGAAAAATATAAGTCAGAATCAGTTCAAACTTTCTACATAGCATAAGGACATCAATATGTATAAGAAAATGTAATAAAAATTGGGAGTGATTTTTTAGCCATTTTTTGAAAAAAAGCATAGGCTATATTATAGCCTTGGGTATTTTTCAGATTTTAGAAAATTTCTTAAAATAGCCGTAACTTGAAAAATTTAAGTCGGAATCGGCTCAAACTTTCTACATAGCATAAGGACATTAATATGTATCAGAAAATATAATAAAAATTGGGGGGTAATTTTTTAGCCATTTTTCCGAAAAAAGCATGGGCTATAGCCTTGGGTATTTTTCAGATTTTGGCACATTTCTTAAAATGGCCATAACTTTAAAAAATTAAGTCGGAATCGGCTCAAACTTTCTACACAGCATAAGAACGTCAATATGTATCAGAAAATGTAATAAAAATTAGTGGGGATTTTTTGAGTTTTTTTTTTTGAAAAAACCATGGGCTATAGTACAGGGTATTTTTCAGATTTAGCAAATTTATTAAAATGGCCTTATTTATGAACCTAATTGGTATTATTTTATTTTGTGTTTAGGATTTAACGAAGCAATCAGACGTAGAGTTCAAAGGCAGAAAGAGGCCACTAGAGGAGGTCCCCAGCTTCTTCTGCTGGTTTAATGACACCAACGGGAACGAGTCCGATGAAATAGCCGAGACTATTAAGGATGAAATTTGGCCGAATCCATTGCAATTTTTCTTGGTAAGCACATTAATTTTTAATGCAACAAACGTTATTAATTATACATAGTTACAATTTTATATTATTACATTTTAATTCACTCACTCTCTCTCTCTCTCTCTCTCCCCCCTCAGCATGGTGAGGTTAGTGTTGATGAAGGGGAAGAGGAAGAGGATGATGAAGATGAAGAGGCTGAAGGTGACATTGAAGGAGAAGAAGATGATGAAGATCCTGACCCCGTGAGTCTATTACTCTACTACTTACATATTGTATTCAGCTAAGTCTTCCCACTAAACATGCTACATGTACATGTTTATCTACTACAATATTTACTACCTGGCTTTTGGAGCAACTTTAATAGATTCATAAAAATCCAGTTTTGATCAGAATCAACTCAAAATTACCACACAATATCAGTAAAAGTATACATGTGTCAGAAAAGTATGAAAATGGAGAGTTTTCTCCTAATGTATTATATAGTACAGGGTCTTTGGTCCAATTTTTGAGCAACTTTAAAATCTTGTAAAAAATATAATTTTATTTGTTATTTATTATCCTTTTTTCTGTTCGAAGGATGAACTGGTTGATTTAGAAGAAGATGAAGACGATGATGATGAAGGTCCTGACGATCTCTAGCTAAATCTTTTTAAATTTTTTTCCTGACATTTTCGTTGGCATTTCATATGTACTCTCCATCTCTCTCTTATCTCTTCTTTTTACTTTCTCTATTTAGACAAAACACATTCACAAACGTGTATACAACATACACACAAACATAATAATTATTATGTCCCCATACATACAGTGCCTTCCTTTTCCTTATGATATCTCTTCTATGCTATCCTGACTACCTATTGTGACTGATCACTGCTTCCTTAAACTTAAAAAATAATATCTGACAGCTGCTATAAGAGGCTAAGGCTTCCATGTGTTAATGATGGTCATATGCAGTGTACATCAGTTCAGTATAGTTATGGTATTTTCTTTGTCATCGGATTTTGTTGAAAAATGCGTAATAGACCCACATCTCTTGCTCTGTTTTTAAGGTTTTTTTGGAAAAATAATGTTATTTTTTACACAAAAAAAAACAATGATAATAAATTAATAAAATAAAATAATGTACATCAGAAAAATAGTTTTACTTATAATTGTGCGCTAAAAAATAATAATATACTTATAAAACAAAAATATACAATATTCAGTCTTCCTCAAAAGAGAAGTGCAGCTGTATCGGAATCTAAATTAGCATAAATATCTGCCTTTGACGTCTCAGTCTCCTCCTGCACCTCCTCCTTTGTCTCTGGCTCTTTGCTGGGAGGGGAGTAGGACGGGAAAGAGGAGGCGTTGAGAGTGTACATAGACATGAAGCTCCCCACGCTTCCAAGACCATTTGAACTATAAGACGGGACGCTGCTTGGGGAGGGGGACGATTTCGTTTCCGCTAGCCACGGATGAATGGGCGTGGCAATGGCCGGCTCTGGGCTTGAGGGACTCACTGGAGTGTCGACTTCTTCAGCGACCTCTTTGATGGGAGGGTCTTGCTCAATGTCGTCGTAATCCGAGTAGTCATATTTTGGATAGTAGTGGGACAGGTTACTGTCACTCCAAGATATGCTGAGTTTTCTACGAGGCTGTTAGTGTGTGTGTGTGTATGTGTTTGGGAGGGAGGAAGAGAAAACAAAAATTCAATTTAAGTAAACACTGTACAAATACAATTTTACACTGTAAGGAAGGAAGCACTGCATACATAGGACAAAAACAACTATCATTATAACATGCAAGCTCTTTATTAGAAAAAATATCAAGAGTTTGTCATTCTCTAAATTGCTCATAGGCTTTATATAAGGTTAATCTAAACTTTGAAGTCTTACAAGTGCAAAATGCATAATATGCAATGTTTGCATACCTTTCCTTCAATTTTCAAGATGCTACTAGATCGTGTTGTTTTCAAATGCTTTGGAGGTGTGGCCTCTTCATCAGAAGACTCCTCATCTATCATTGTGTATGTGTCCCCATTCTCTTTTATGGGCGAAGTAGGAGGCGGAGGCTTCTTTACACTTTTGACGTTACCAAATTTTCCTGCAATTTTAGAAATACCACTTTGCTCTGTAGTCTCTGTAGAAGTACTAGTAGAAGGGGAAGGTGTATTTCTAATAGGTGTTAAATTATGGCTCGGCTTTTTTGAAGACTCTTGTGAGTTTTCTTTTTGTGCGTTGATTCGGTCAAATGGCGTGGTTATATTTGATGGTAAAGAAGGTGGTTTCTTCTCTTCTTTTACTTCTTCTTTTGGTATCGGAGCTGTACGATTTTCCATGTCTCTTCTTCTACGCTTTATCAGTTCCTGCTTCCACATTGGGAGCTTCTTAAACTCTGGATCTTCCTCTTTAATGTCGGCCCATTTACCGGTTGATTTGAGGACGGGAGCACGTATACTTTTCCCTTCCTTGTTCAGTAGTTTAGGCGGATCACCTCCATCCTTTTTATCAGATGCATTCACTATTTCTGGTTTTTTAACTGTAGCTTCACTTTTCTTCTCTTGAGGCTCTGGTGCTGTTGGAGCTACTGTTGAAGATGATGGTGGAGTAGTTCCATGGCCAGGAGTGGCTGATACTGTTGCAGGAGGAATACTAGCAGATTGTGCTGGAGGAGATGAAGGGGGTTCTGCTTCAGTTGGTTGTTGAGGAGCAGCACTTGTGGTTTCCTTTTTCTTTCCTCTCTTTCTTGCAAGAAGCTCTCTCTTCCAGGCTGGTATCTTATCATCATTTTCAGCAGGGGGTACAACAACATGAGTGTTATAACTAGTTGTCTTCCGTTCTGCAGTGAATGCTGGTTTCTTTACGTCTGAACTTTGACTAACATTAGAAGTAGGAGGTAAAGGATCTGTTGTCTTTTGTTCCTCTACTTCTTTCACAGGATGAGAATGACTTGGTAGAGTAGGTGATGATGCAAAATTAGGCTGGGTCGGAGAAGACGGTACCTCAGTGATGTCCTGGACGTTGCTTTTCTGTACGTCAACATCTCCATGATCGCTCACTATTTCGTTGTGTTCAAACTGTTCTTTCGTGTGTGCAACGACACTGCTTTTATCTGATGTTTCAAGAAGGCCCTTTCTAACTGGGGAGAGCGGAGATTTCTTTGGAATCTGTGGGCTGCTTGCTATCTCTTCGAATAAGTTTTTAGCAGCAGATACTCTGGTAGATTTTGTTTTCAAGGTTGGGGATGCACTAGTGGTTTTTTCAGTAGATGGTTTAGATGCAGGAGCAGCAGGGTGGGGCTCTTCTTTCTTGTTGACAGCAGCAGAAAACATAAATTTGTTTGCGAGACCAGAGGAAGTGGTAGCTGGTGTTTTAGAAACTGTGGTGGCAGATGTTTTAGGGACATTGGTGGCTGAAGAAGGTGCTGGAGTTGTAGTTCCTCCACTAGTTCCCGTTCCTGGTAATAGACCTTTCTTTTCTAGCACGGCTCTCTTCCAAGCTGGCATTGAAGCGCGTTTAGCTTCCTCTTCGGCTTGTTTCTTTCTCTCTTCTTCCTCTTTTTTCTTCTTACGTTCTCTCATAGCTACCTTCCAAGCCGGTTCTGCCATCCTGCACCAGTATATTTACTATTATAAAAAGAGAAATCTGTAAAGAAGTCAAGGCTACTTCTTTGCGTTTCTTTTGGTGTTTGTTTTGCGAGGAGCCACGCCCAGGAAACAGCAGGTTTATCGCGCGATAGTCAACTTTTCAATGAGAGAAAGTTTCCCTTAAACAATCAAAAGCAATTTGTTTTGGTGCTTAAAACACACTTCAGTACCATTACTAGAACTAATAATCCTCTGTATATTGGTATAATAATAGCAGCAGCAGCAACAACAACTAAATAATAATAATAATAAGTTAATTTGAGTCTATTCATAGGCTGAACTCAAATCATGAACTGGGCATTAGCATAAATTATTTGAAATTGACTAAATAAGGATATCATGTTCCACAGGGAAGAGAGTCTATGAATAAAAGAGAGAGAGAGAGTGAGAGAAGATCAAGAAATCATAAATCATTATCATTATAAGTGATGTCTTAAGAAGAAGCTATTGTTTCATTAGGGATCTCTTCTGTCTCCATTTCCTCTTCTTGGACCTTGCTTCCTTCCCCACTGTTGTCATGGGCAACCGTTGCCACAGCAACCACGTCCTGTTCACTAGGCACAGAGAAGCCAGGAGAGGTAGTAGGAGGAGGCTCTGCTGGTGATTCCAGCTGTTGTTGTTGCTGTTTTCGTTTCCGATCTGCAGCTGCATCCTTTTTCTCTTTCTGGGACTTCTTGAAAGCTGAAACAATCATTACATCATCATTACATCATCAAAAAAGAAACTAAAAATAGCCTATAACATTAACGTACCTTCCAAAGACTCCTTCATCTCAGGAACAAATTCTTGAAACTCCATGTCTTCAGCAGCTGAGAATATGTCCGAGGGGATTATCGTCTTCCTCTTTGCTTTTGACGTGTAATTGTTGGCACTGTATTGGAAACAAGAGTGAAGGGGACACAACTGATAGTAAATAAACAACAAACAAGCAAGCAAGCATGAACCAATAATGACTGCCATTATAATAAAAGAGAACAAATACTATTGAACTTTATACGTAATACCATGGATTGCTGGACAGAGAGCCCTTCCCTACTACCGGTATTAGGAGGTGTTAGCTGTCACTAATTCACATTATGTTCATTGACATTATGTCCATTTACATTATGTTCATTGACATTATGTTCATTCACATAATGTTCATTCACGTCATGTTGATTCACATAATGTTCATTCACATTATGTTCACGGTTGGGTATATACCTCTTGTGATGTGAATGTGTACTATAGGGAGTGTTAAGGGTGGGGGGCTGGTAGTAATTAATTAATATAATTAGTTCTGATAAGAGAGTAGCCACCCAATATCTTTCTCTTTTATAATAATAAGAACACTGTGATCTTAATCTAATTGAATACTTGTGTGTTGTGCTGGAGGTCTTAAAGTGCTAGTGTATTTATAGTATGATAAAGGAAATAGTTTCAGTTAGTGGAAGTTTTATAAGAAGCAGTCATACCTTAAATAGGTAGTCTTGTTCCACAAACATAAGCTTAGAAATATGCAACACAAAGCAAAAGGGAATTATTGTACAACAACATTATACAGGCTAATAAACTAATAACATTAATGAGTTATAATATGTGCGTAACTGGAAAGGAATGTGTCTGTTTTCAAAATTAGATAAAGTCAAAACAAATGCAAATATGATTAATTGTATTAGTGCTTAGGAAAGAAGTCTAATTTTACTATTCTTGGGCATAAACTTTATGATTAGTATTAGGCCACTTATTGACTGTTAGCATCTGTACTATTATTATTATTATTATTATTATTTACAAATAATAAATATTAATGTAATCACGTAGTCCCCACCTGGTATATGGGACACTTTAAATTAAATAATGGACTCCACAAAGTATTTTTATATTTTTTATTTTATTCTATAATTTTTATTTTTTGATTTTTTTAATTTCAATTTTATTTCTATTTTTTATTTCTTTATTTTTATACTTTTTAATTTAATTAAAAAAAATTAAACATAAAAGTTTAAAAGCACATGCTTTGTGGAACCCCGTGCTTGATGAAAATTCTTTTAAAGGTACAGACAGTCATACATTATCACGAAACAAGATAAATATTAGACTTAAAACGTCTTACCAAGATGTGGCATAGAGAACAAATATACTGGCCGCCCTCCCAATTGCTGCTTTAGCTTCTTTAGACACATTGACTCCTTCAGGTAGCTGACAATAAAAATTAAAATAAAAATAATACAAACTACAGCCTTACGGCTTCCTTTATTATCCTTGCAACAGAGCTAGCAGGAAAATTAATGTCATCTAGATTTTCTGCCATTTTGTGGGCGTGGTACAAGAACGCCATCTTGTAGGCGTGGGATTTAATCATTTGGCCACGCCCCTCCCTGTCATTCTCTTCCTTCTTGCCTCGTTTCTCCCTTCTTCCCCTTTTCTCTTAGTGTAGGTGTAGAGTCTTCCAGACTTTTAAACTGGAGAATAACTTGGAAGACATGAGTAGCTCGGAAGAGGTCTCATGGATCTCCTGGTTCTGCTCCCTACGCGGCAACGAATTTTTTTGTGAAGTGAGGTCCAATTAGAACTTGTGAAGCCATTTACAACTACCTCTCTCTCCTCTTTCTCCCTCTTTAGGTCGATGAAGACTATATACAGGATAAATTTAATCTAACTGGGCTCAATGAACAAGTCCCTCACTATCGCCAAGCCCTGGACACCATTTTAGACCTTGAGCCAGGTTAGTTTACTAGTTAAATATATACATGTACATGTATAAAAAAAACATGTACGTGTGTTGCATGTTTGAAATGTCTAAGATGTGGCTGTACATTGAAGTGGAAAAAAAACTAGACTCGTCAATTTTAGATGTACCTATAATTTATTAAAAGTCAACAAAACTAATAGTAAGATTAAGATTCTGTATAATATTGATGTAGATCATGTACATGTACATGCACGTGTATTTTTAGTTACGGCTTAGCTTGATGTACATGTACATATACCTGTTCCTGCTTTTTGGCGACTGCACGTGCACATGTACATGTAATTCAATATGGGTGTCCATCTATGTGTGTTATATAGTGAACATCTGTTAAACCACATAGCAACTCACCAGTTTACAATAAAATGCAATTTTCTAAACAGTCCATTACTCATTCAATAAAATATTGTTATGAGTGAAATTAAAGATTCTTTCAATGTTGTGTAGTACTATTATTATTATTATTTTATTGACCAAGCTCTATAGTCTATTGTATTGTTCATACATGTACAGTACATGTACATTTTATTGATCTCTTCTTTTCATTTCTTCTCTCTCTCTCTCACCAGATGATGAGTTGGAAGACAATCAAAGTGATTTGGTTGAGCAAGCTGCCGAAATGTTATACGGTCTTATCCATGCTCGCTACATCCTAACGAACAGGGGCCTAGCCCAAATGGTTAGTTAATAAATATTATGATTGATATCCCCTCTCTTTCTCTCCCTCCCTCCCTCCCTCTCTCTTATTTAAAATTTATCCTTGTCTCCTTTTAAGATTGAAAAGTACCAGCAAGGCGATTTTGGTCACTGCTCTCGTGTTTTTTGCGAGAACCAGCCCGTCCTTCCCATTGGACTATCAGATGTCCCTGGTGAATCAATGGTCAAGCTTTACTGTCCGAAATGCTGTGATGTCTATACTCCCAAGTCCTCCCGTCACCATCATATTGATGGGGTTTATTTCGGGACTGGGTTTCCCCACATGCTCTTCATGGTCCATCAAGAGCTCCGCCCGCCAAAACCAACAAATCAGTTTATACCAAGGTGATAACCACACTCATTAACAGCAATATGATTTAGGCTTTGTTGACACAGGAACAAAAACCAGACGCAATCGTTATAGTTTTGTGCCTGTTTTATGCTTCTGTTTACACGGAAACGAGTAAAACTGTGATAGAATCTTCATAGGAAAACAGTGTTCAAAGTGTTTAAAAAATATGCGTTATGCCTTGCTGTTACCCAGCCTTGGTTATGATTTAACCTCTCAATTTTAAAGTCATATCTCAATTTTAAAGTCATATCTCAATTTTTAATCTTAATTTGAAAGGTTAATCAACTTAATATCTTTAATAAACTATACCCAAATTTTTAGCTCATTAAGGTCGCTTCATTATCTACTCTTGATTGAATTTTACTAATTTCTTCAAATCTTTTAATTTCAAAGGTTAATAAATCATGCCTGAATTTTTGAGATATCGAGTTGCATTTTTTTACTCATTTTTCTTTTTTTTTATTTTTAGGTTGTACGGGTTTAAGATACACCCACTTGCCTACCAGCTACAGCTCCAAGCCGCCTCCAAGAGCCGGTCTGCTACTGGGGCCCGCCCACGCTCGCAGAAGCAGCCGTACAAGTGACAGTCACGCCCAATTATCACTAGAGAATCACATGCACGCGCTTTTTGTACGCATTTTGGTGTTCTGGATGCAACATGGCACTCCATCTCTCTCTCTCTCTCTCTCACTGCTGCATCCAACTATAACGAGTCTAGATAATAATAATAATAATCACAATAATAATAATAATAACTAATAATAATAATTGTATGGTGTATTAAAAAATATTATTATTATAATAGTATAATAAATATTAATGATTTTTTTAAGATGCGTATTTTCGTACGTATTCGCGGACTTTTCTATCGAATTCGTACTGGTCTCTAACGTATTGTTCTGCAGCTTCGATATTTAGTGGATCGTCGAAATTTAACAAATCGGTGAAAAGTGAGTTAAGGCCCCAGACTACGTCTTTCAGAGATCGAGTTGGTAGCCACCCAGTTCCATCGACTGTCTGTTCCCGTAATATACTCAAACAGATCTTTCCATCTTCCATTATATTCGGATGCCAAAGTCTCGTCTTGCAAAGGACCGATGGAGGTTTAATATTATATTCTATCGGGACTGATACTTCAAATACAAATTTACCGCCTTTCCAATGTCCCTCGTTCGGGGTCACGATGAGCTCGAATTTTCTGAGGTCGTTCACGTCTTGGAATCTAAGTGAACAGGTTTCAGGAAGAAGTGTGTTCAAGTCTGAGATTTCTTGAGTCAAGAAACGGCTTCTTATCGACATTTGCTTGTCTAAGGAAGGCTGGGCTGCCTTCTTTTCGTCCTCCTCCTTTCTCTTCTGCTGGAGCTTAAACATATCTAAAGGAGAAATGAACAAAGACAAGAAAGATTTTATTTAAAAAAAATTGGTAAATCCAAATTAGCCCCACCCATAAAAATTTAATCACCACGCCTATATGTGGTAACGCCCACATTGGTGACGTCATCATTCTTTTTGGAGCTGAGGAAAGAAGCAACCATGTCTCTCCGGGACACTGTTTCTGAGTGTAAGTTCCTCTCTCTCTCTCTCTCCCTCTCTCTCGTTTTCATTTGTCCCTGTCTTTTATAGATATCCTGGAAGGGATATTCAACGCTTTGCATCAGCCCGGATCATGGAAGGTAAAGGAGAGAGAGAGCAGGAAGGGGTGGTTATTAAAATAATAGTGTACAGTCAAACCTGCTATTGTGGGCAGTCTAAAATAAGGACACCTCTATAATGAGGACAGGTAGTATCAGTCCCATTACAATATAAATGTGTATTAATGAACCTCTGAAATAAGGACACCTCTTTAATAAGGACAGTTTTATTGGGTCCCAAGGTGTCCGGAATAGACAGGTTTGACTGTATATATACAGGTTTTATTGTTGTGACTTTTGATTACGTGGTCCCTTGATTTTGTATTAGTTTAAGTTTCCCTGCATATTACATGTTATGAGGGAAACCTTTCTTTTTCAATTAAATAGAACTACAGGATGCTTTACCAATATCCTTATGATTATGATGCTTGTTTCTTCCCCCCCCTCTCTCTCTCCCTTCTCTCTCCCCCCCTCTCTCTCTTCTCCTTTGTCTGTTACTATTAATAGAACTACATGTACTTGGCTGATATTAATATCCTTACACACTCACACTTAAAGTTCACTATCATTCTTATTATTGAGTTATTAGTTATTATTACTATACCTCTAGTACTCCATGCGTATCTTTAACAGGACGCCATTATCCCTAATAAAATAAAGAGACACTCCTACATATATAACTGCTCATTTCCACATTTCACTACATGTATCAATCTGTCTATGCTGCTGTTATTAATTGTGTAAGGGGGAGGGGGGTGTACTGCAGAAAGTATTTGGAAAAATGCTTCACGTGTATATTTACACTCGTCGCTTTTACGCTTTGTGGATTGTGATAACATGTTTTTGCAATATGTGTCACTAATTAAATGTACATGTACATGTATGTGTACATGTATATATATATATATGTACATTTATATGTATATGCTGTGTATTATTATAAATTTCTTTCTGTTAGTATAGTATAGCTACATATGCTTTGATTTAAAGGTTTGGGAATTAATAATAATAATGATAAAATACACAGGGTCTTAATTAA